TGTGTGCGTGCTCAAGTTGTGTATGAGACCCTGAGTATAGAATGATCACCTGGCTCACCTGTCGTAGATATGATGCTCTAAATTAGCTGATGATCCTCAATACAGGTGTTAGACTAATCCCTGTGTACCTTTACTAGTTAACGATATAATAATTTCTTGACTGTAAGTAGAACAAGGCAGGTATAATGAGGTATAGCTATATTACTAATTACAGGTACACAGGCGCTTTTATAACACACCTGTGCTATCCGAATTAACACAAGAGACAAGTTTAGGATTACTTTTTCTATGTACAGTTAGACGTTACTTCTTCATGGTTTAGAAGTAGTGTTAACTGGTTGTTCTCTCCCTCACCCGTAAGAGAGAGAGAGAGAGAGAGAGAGAGAGAGAGAGAGAGAGAGAGAGAGAGAGAGAGAGAGACCATCAATATTCACACGGCTGTTACCCCATAAAACTAGTCATAAATTACACCTGTACTACACCTGGTTGATCCTCTTGCTATACCTGGGCCAGTTAGGGGACGATACCACACCTCACCTCACCTCACTCCATCCCATCCCTCCACTGAATATACAGGGTGTTCATAAATGATAACCCTGATTAAAACATAAGAGCACACTGTTTTTAGGGTAATCACTTATGGACACACTGTATTACCACCACCACCATCAACAACAACAGCAATAATAATAATAATAATAATAATAATAATAATAATAATAATAATAATAATAATAATAATAATACTGTAATAATAATAATAATAATAATACTGTAATAATAATAATAATAATAATAATAATAATAATACTGTAATAATAATAATAATAATAATAATAATAATACTGTAATAATAATAATAATAATAATAATAATAAGGCTTATAAATAACTACCCACACACTCATCTATGAATGAACTTACAACTGTCAATAAGAATTTAATTTACCCCAAACGAAAATAATAAACAAAAAATGTTATTTGACTCTTCTGCCAGACTTGTTTTCATTGCACGAGATTTTAATTTACGACATTGCAAAAATATTACAATCGTTGATAAAAGATGATGAAAAATATTAACCGCGTTGCAAAAATTCC